CATGTGCACCATTTTGAAGAACAATAAACATCACTTGCTGAACAGCGAATAGCTTGAGCACTGACGAAACACTTAGAAAGGTTACGACATTTTGCTATGCCATGACAGAACCATCATGAGATATGGTTGTCGACATCGAGTGTAGGCAAAATTTTTTGCTAATATCAATTTATTAAGGTTTTGAATCGAATTGGTGGGAATTGTGTACGTAGATTACACACGCAGTTAGAGCGGGACGCAAAACGTCTTCAAGAATCCCTAAATGACGAGAACTGGTTTGTTTAAATTTATGCTCTGAAATTATATCGCAGTTTGAATAGAACTGAAGAACTGCGGTAATTTGTATATTGAGTTCAGGATCGCGGTGTATCGGTATCCACGAATACGATTTGCTGCGCTACTTGCCAGAGCCAAGCTCCTTCAGACAGTTGTCACAGTGTTGTACTTGCCTTATTCCTCATATCAATACCTTGTTGGACACGTCGATGCAACGTGGTTCTATTCAACGGCAGCACTCGCTTTTTTGGCCCCTGTCCTGCTTGCAGTGTTTAGCAGGTAAATATTTCGTACAAATTGTAGTTTTTAAAACTGCTGTCTATAATCAGTGCAATTGAGTTATAGTTCAGAACACTAACTCTGTTTCACATTTGGATTGTCATCGAACTTTATTGCAGAAGTCATATTTTTTCAGGTATTTGAATAGACTTATTGGAGTAATAGCAATGAACGAAAGCAACGATTACGTCAGAATTGGATACTTGTCCTTCTGGGGTGCACGAAGGAATAAGTGAGTCGAACGTTGAATTTGTTGTGGTAGTGTAAAGCTGAAAGCTGGAAGGACTCAAGAATAAAAATGAAGAGGGTCCCTTTGCCAGGAAAAACTGTCTCTTGTGCAAACATCAGGTGAGAAGCCCATGTAAAGGTCGTGGAAATTCCGCTACTCCTTGTTCTCAGTTGTTCATTTTCCCTCTAGCTCTACCAAAGTAAATATAATTCGAAACATTGGGTTTAGGACATTCAGGGTTTCATTTCGCAGTTTCTTTCTGTGGTGTCTGTTTTACGCATTTCTCTTGAATACTATTGTTTTGCTCACGTTTAAGTAGTACGGTGTACAGGCTTAGCGTCTTCCCTCTTGAAATTCTTGGAAGTGAATGCATACGGGAAAGCTAGAGATTTAAGGGTTTTTTTTTATATATAAGCGCATCCCAGCAAAGGTATTGAAATTTGCGAACAATCGCTTTTCATTCTATTCCAAAATCATATTTCAGATATTTGGAGATTGACGATGTGCTCCCATTAACTGAGGTGGCCGGTAGCAAAAACGATGCGTTGGTCAAATTCTCTTGGTTTGGAGGGTGTGTTTGACAGTCTTTTTGAGAAAATGTTGTGCTAGTGAAATCACTCATTAGAACTTTTCAGGAACAACTTTCTACTAAATCTAACACTTACAAAGACGTTCAATTATTGTTGGACGAACATATCAGCAAAATTGTTATTTCTGGACATCTCAACCTATACCAAATAAGGAGCTCTGAAGGATAATAGCTTCTACGGACCCAGCGGCTAAGCGTAAAATAGTTATACAACGAGTTAGCAGACATTAGGCAGAAGCTACTATCAAATATAGAAAGGAGAGAAGGGAACGAAGGGAAGAAGGGTGAACCGTCCCTTCACTTCGCCTTTAAATAAATACTTGTCGAAAATTTGAGATTACACATATCGGCATAGTACCGTTTTGCCGCTTGAAAATGATTGTCAAGAAGTGATAGCCATTCCTACAGGAATGGACTGCTATAATGGTTTTGTCGTGATTGTTTTCGAGTAGTTTGTCGAAATTGATCTTAGGATTGCTCAAGTATACGCAAAAACTGCTTCGGGCGGGTCTTGAACTCCGCTTTTTATAGGTTTGAGTCCTGTGCAGGACAAACTATTACATTATTTGAAGCACGCAGCATTCTAGTGATATCTGATCTTTCGCATTTTCATTTTTTTAAATCCATCCTTTTTTATTTGAAGTTTCTAGATGTAGTCGTAAGGCAAATCAATTTCATTTTATTTCCATTTTCACCATTCATTTTCATTTTAATCAATTCGAGTTGATTTTTCTTCGATAGCAGTTTCTAGTTTCTTGTTCAAAATAGTCTCACCTCATGTTTTGTTGTTGCACATATTGAAGACGTTCTCAGTGATATTTGCTGTTTAAGTAACTGTCGGTTGATATTTGTCATCGTTTTATTTTGTCTGTGTATACCTTATACAAACCTGCTAGTCCAAGTCTCGATGAATTGCCATACTTTATTGAATTTTAATAAAATATTTTTGAATTGGAGTATCGGTAACCCTCGGAACTCTAGCAATATTTCGTAAATGTGGCTAGGTTCAGAGACTACGTACCGTAGAGATGTATGTCGATACCCACTCCGTTGCCGACCATTTCGCCGTCGGATAACTTCACAGGGTTCGCAGCTTGGTGAAGGCGGACCGGTAGAGTTGGGTTCTAGAAGGTGCTGTGAATTCACACTTCTGGCACATGTATGGTCTTCCAGCAGTGGAGCGACCGAAAGGGGTACCCCCAGGAGGCCCGTCGCGCGGCAAGAAGGCAGAGTCGGCGGACGAGTTGCAGCGCGTGGTGTGCGATGTAGGACGTGCAGTGGGACACTTTATTGACGCGAAATCCCTATAGTACGCGCGCGACTCGTCCGCTGACTTTGCCTTCTTGCCGCGCGACGGGCCTCCTGGGGGGTACCCGACCGAAAGCACCGCATCTCTATTGTAATGGAGTGGTTCGACAGCATGGCGCGCTTCTAGCGGCGGACCCGCTCAGACACATGTCCTGAGCGTCATAGAAGCACTGCAGAAA